TGGTTTCCTATTTGTAGTGATGTTTGCCCTCTGAAGATGGTTCACAGAGACCGAAACATGTAAGGGTGTTAAGTTTTTATGTAGTAAAAAACTTACAGGTCACATTGGACGGAGTGATTTATAATTTGAGGTTATATGAACTCCGAAAGGAAGTCGAGCTCTTTTTAATTGATAAGAAAAGCAACCTGTCCCATTATTTCCAGGATAAGAAATGGGTAGCCAGGCTGGCGTATCTCAGCGACATATTTTCTTACATGACCGAGCTGAATTTAAAACTTCAAGGTCCAGATACAACAATATTTAATGCGTGGAACAAGATAGAATCATTCAAAAATAAACTAAAACTCTGGCTTAATATGATTGCAGAAGGAAACAATGAAATATTTCAGTCGTACTCCGATTATATTATGGAAGCAGATGATTTCTATTCACAGAATTCAGTTTCAGATATTATTGCAGCCCATTTGAAGATGAAAAATATTATCCCGAACATGAGGATCGCCGGAGGCAAAATATGTGAATTGTGAACCCTTTTGTTGAATCAAAGAGACAGCCCTTTCCCATGAAGAAACCCTTCAACTTATCGAATTATCATCGGACAAAGGACTTGGAAAGTACTTTTAATACTACGAGTAATTCGAAATTCTGGATAAGAATGAAAAATGAATATTCAGATTTACACGAAATAGCAGTGAGGTTTCTGCTTTGTTTTTCCACTAAATATCTTTGTGAAACTGCATTTTCTGCCATGAGTGTGCTTAAAACGAAACAGAGGAACTGCCTCCAACTTTGTGACTGTCTCCGTTTGGCTCTCACTTCAGTTCATCCCAGAATTACGAGTAATAAGCTAACGGACGGAAAACAGAAACAGAAGTCTCACTAGCCTAACTAAAACCTTCCAGACTCAGCTGGGATAAAAGAAACTAATTTTAACTTTCCAATAACTTATATTTGCTGTGTTAAAGTGCTGCGTCTTTAAAATCAAAATATTAATTAGTGTTGGAAGTGGTGTTTAGAATTGAGAGATTCATACATTTTTATTTATCAAATTACATACTTTGCATATATAATTATTTTGCGTGTGTATGTAATAATAAGTGTTTCTCCAGCAAGTTGACATCCTTCTGCTTCTTCCCCTACTCAGCTGATTTCTATGGTGCGTTACAATGCATAAATATTTTTCTCACTGCCGTTTTTTTTCAAACCAACATCATTAAAATCAATTTAATAATACAGTAATCAATTTTACGCTGAATAACATAAGTTTTTAGTGATCAGCATGGGATATGACAATGAAAATGAGCACAAATTAATTTAATGATGTTGGTCTGAGGAAACTACAAAATGCTACAAGATTTCATTAGTCCAGTGATTGATAACTAATTTAAATGTAATTTTATGTTTGTCAACATGCCACACCGTATACATAAGTGTACTAATACTCTTTATGATTATGCTATAATTAACTACTAATATTACGTTAGCTTAATGGATGAACTTTAACAAACCTGGAAAGGTATTTACGAGTAAATTTGTTGGGACTGGGCCCTCGTCTTATAATAAGAGAACTTACGGGCCGCGGTCTCATAAGGGTTGAGAACCACTGTTCTAAACCATGACGGAATAGTAATATGTTCGTACTGAAGAACTGAGAGAAACGGAAGGTATTGAACTGTTCTTAGAAGTTTTATATATTTATTCAAAGTTCAGACATACATGGCAAACACTTGATGAGACGAAAATTAATTACGCACAACGTTAGTTGTCGAATACTCATTAAACGTGAGCATGCGTATCACAGATTACATTACATAAAACGTTACTGTTCTGTGTGCACTCTGTCGGTAGGGCTCAGAAGTTCGTACTAAACACGGCTGTAACCGCTGTAACGAACTCAGCGCCCTGACCATTGCGTGGGGAGCGACTGAAGTGGCCGGTTGTGTTGTACTGTAATGGCGGATAACTCATCTTCTAACGGTGAAATTAAATTTAGTACCATAAGTAGTGGAGGAATAAACAGTTCAAGTGTAGGTGAGTCAAATATAAATACAACTCAACAGGACTACACTACTATGAAGAGTGCTACTGGTGAAATGGAAATGGAAGCGACCTCTATTGGAGATAAAGCCGGTGACTATGTACGTGAGTTGCTGCATGAGAAGCAAAGCTTGGATTCGTCGCAGTGGCCAAATGCGCTGCGGCTTCTGGATCAAGGTATGATATAAATTGCGTGAACTGCCATTCTTAGCTAAGAGGAGCATGAATAATAGTGTTGAATTCTGTGTAAATGTGACGAAAATAGTGCTGAAGCAGGCGTTGGTGCGAACGTAGCGCAAGGAATCAGATTCGATATGTATCGATGTGGTAACCGCCGTGAAGTTGGCGCTGACGTATGAAGTAAGGAGTGACTAGAGTTGCATGCTGAAATCACATGTCTTCCAGAGACAAAAACAACACCGTCTAGTGTGTGACTATTTAAGTTTTATCATTTGAAAACTCATTACCCTTACATGTTTCGATCCCTGCGGATCATCCTCAGAAGGCATCAATACTTTTTCCGGAAACTACTAATACAGTAGGTGTTAAATTAGATACATACTCGTACACATGTAATGTGTAAATATAAAATTTTAATACCAGGAAGGCTGCTGTGACTGAGAAGTTGAACATTGTGTACATTGTGTATTTCACACATTGTATGTATATGTATATAATTTAACACCTATTGTAATAGTAGTTTCCGGAAAAAGTATTGATGCCCTCTGAGGATGATCCGTAGGGATCGAAACATGTAAGGGGGATGAGTTTTCAAGTGATAAAACTTAAATAGTCACACTGGACGGTGTTGTTTTTGTCTCTGTAATTGTTAGTGTGTCGGACCAGAATGAAACAGATCAAGTTCATATGTTTCGTTCATGCCCCAGTTGTACTCAGGGTTGCCAATGTGGTGATTTTAAGAAGTCATTTGGCACCAGGTTTTTTGTTTTCTCGTGTCGAAACTGTGGTGCCTGCATTGAAACAGTGATATATTTGGTGTCAAAGGTCAGCAAAAGCTGGCAGTTTTTAAGGCATAATACATTGTGATTAAGGGAAATGGACGTTCTGTTTTTAAGGGTATGAACTGTTCCTTATATAGTTAACATTCCCAATAATTAGCATTAAATTTTTTGAAACAACGTAATGTTAGTATATGCTCTTGAAATGCCTGTAAATTGTGTCATAATTAAAGCATTTGCAGTCAAAACCAGCAACAGTCCTAAACTTATGTATTGTGAATTAATGTGTTCACTCTTGTAGCTAAAGAAAAGAACAGAACGCTCTAAGGAAACCGGTTATGATAAACAAATTAAAGGAAACAACTCTTTGAGATAAACCTACATTATAGATGCAGAACATTATTATTATTATTATTATTATTATTATTATGTGGTGGAATGCACTGCGATAAATTGGGAGAAATATTTTTGTCCTTAGTATTATACTATGACCATATTAATTATTTGAAGGACCTGGTGAATTTCTGGAGAATTTCATGCTAATATTTAGAGGCATTTTTCTGATAACAATTCGGCAATCCAGGTTGTACCGCAAGTTTAGAGCAGCACCATTGATATAGTTACGTAAAATTTTCGAAGTTGTGACACGTTTAATTTGATTTCTATAATTGGTATGACAAATTACAACACATGGCTATAATGAAGTTATTGATATCGTGATGTGATTGAAGTTTAATCCGTTTTTGGCGCTCTACTCTAAAGTGCTCCAATTTGATAGTGAATTGTTAATAATGCTGAACTCTTACTATCTTGGTTATGAAATTATTGGGATTTATTTATTTCAGGAACTGAAAATGGTTAATGCATGCAAGCCTGTTTTTATTACTATTATTATTTATTTAAACTGCAAATGGGTTTTTGCCCGGTGGCAGTTTTACTACAATAAGACACAACAACAAATAACACATCACACAAAATAACACACCACACTCAAACAAAACTACACAAATAACAAAGGACACACTAGCACACAGTAAATAGAGTGAAAATACGCTTACAACTATAACAGTACACTTACAAGTATGTGGAGGACAGTGTTTCAATTTGAGTAAAAATATATGGGGTTTATGTTATGAGACTGGAGTTTAGTGATTATGAGCTCTCTCATTGTCAGAGATACTCATACCCGTAAGTATTGTCCAGCCACTGGGATTTTGCTAATTGTTGTCATGAACCCATGAGAAAATATTGGGACTTATCGGGTCGATATAGTAGTAATGTTCTTGACACATTCAGGAGCTGCTTGGTTAGAATGTCAGTAGGATACCTACCATCCTGATTAAAGTGTTTTATGGTTCTTCCCAGTCCTTCAGGCAAAGGTCAGGCTAGTGCCTTGATTAGGCCATGACCACTTCTTTTTAAATCCTTTCCAATTTATTGTTCATCTATCATCTTACCATTTGACGGTATATAGTCGAGCTGTTGACAGTGCATATTGACCATGTGCTAGTATTACATAATGGTTAGAAAGCTGGCGTTGTACTCAGAAGTTCCTGGATTCAATCCAAGTGCTGTGCTCGACTCTGAATTCAGAAGTATTTTTATCTAGTGTGCAACAGAATGCTTTGTAGTTTTTGGCTGTATGTGTCTACCATCAGGCACCAGTGGGGTTTTGCTTAATATTGGACAGTTTTGGTAAATAAAGGAAAAGGCTAATTAACTTCTAAGCTGCTATTAAAGAAACAAATAAGAAAGTACTCCAAAATTTATGAAATGTAATACATGTCCATACATGCCATATTTTTCAGATAAAAAAATGCATTTCTAAAGGCTTGGCCATTGTAGAATAGTACCTCCCATATTTACATCCTTGTAATAGATCAGAATTTTTTGAAAGGAGCTTAAAATGCATGAAAAAGTGAAATAACTTATTTTACTTATTGAAGTAGAATTTTTAATATGCATCATATTTTAAAACATTATAGGTAGACGGTGCTGAACTATGATGTGTACGCGCACTGTATGTTATGTGTGACAAAAGGTGATGTTGGAATTTTGGAGCTGTAAATTTAGTCAGCAGGGTTGTTTTTCTTAGACTTGTAGGGTAGGCACAGTAGAAAATTAACCTTACATGTACTCTCATGATAACAGTGGTGGAAACATATAGTATAGTATGAACTTTACTCTTCATGGTGGTGTTTCACATTGTGTACATGGTTTGTTAACATCAGTGGTGGCAGCCTAAATAAAGATACGATTGCTTTCAGTGTAAATGTACATTACAACCAGAAATTAAATGTATAATGCATATTCATATTAAGTGTGTAATATAGGCCGCGCCATAGCTGAAGCGGTTAGTCGCTGGCTTCCCACCGTGTTGGCCCAGCTTTGATCCCGGGTCTCATCAAGTGGGATTTGTGTTGGACAAAGTGGCAATGGGGCAGGTTTTCTCCTGAATACTTCGGTTTCCCCTGCCAATCTTCATTCCACCAAATTATCCATTATAATAATCACCCGGGGCAGGCTACAGTAGGCAAATTAGTGGCTGCCGTGCCAAGTGGATCCAGTTGGACTCCACCCCCACTAAAGGAAGAGTGTATAATATTGAATGTCATTTGTTTTGTTCATGAACCCATTCTGTCATGTTATGGCAAGATGTATTATTGGATTTAAAAGTTTAGAAGGGTTTGCATGGGCATGGTCATCTGCACTGCATTCACTCCATCTGATAGGTAACATGGTGTTTTTAAGAGAATATGTAAGTGGGTTTTCACAGGCAGTACTACTAGAAGCATTTTTGGCTAAAATAATTCCAAGCTGCCATTAGCACCTCTGATTACAGAAGTGGTGATAATTTCATAAAGTAACTGCTGCTTACGTCCTTAGAATGGTAATTAATAAGGAAAGCAATTGCTTTGTGAGTGAACTTGAGTTTAGGGTTGGCTTCCTATGGATGTCAAGACACATGATCACTTTGGATGTTATACATTTCCTTATTGTTTGTAACTAAGGGGCCAAAATAGTCACTGTTTGATTCCAGACACTTAACCACATATTAAGTATTTATCATCCAGACAAGTTAGTACTGCCCTTAACAATAATTTATTTTAATGAACAGTCAATAGGTCCCCAGAGTTAGTGTCAAGTGAGCACTTTCATTTGCAAAATTGACAGGTGATCTAGTCTATTCAGGATGTGTGTAGTGCAGAAGTACACATGGACTGGAATTAAGGACTCGCAAGTGACATGCATAGTTCACAATCATAGGACAGCACACTCAGGTTCCATTATGTGACAGGTTCAGTTCTGGGTAATATTCAGTATGGTGTGAAGTACAGTAAAACTTGGTTATAGCAACATCGGTTTCTGCGACACCTTGTCTATTGCGTCAAATATTCAATGGTACGAACTAATTCCTCATAAAGCAACTGTTTTTATACCTTGCTTAGTACGACATGCACAAATGCATCAACCTCGTATGTAACGTCATTTTCATTCCTGAATTTCTCTGATATGGACATTGAACGTAATTTAGAAAGTGTGTATTGGGCAAGTAACAGGAAACAGATGAAGATAACTGATTACTGTACTCGTATCTAGGTACAGTAAGGCACAACAATTGATGTAATCTACTGTAATTTGGTGAGTAGGCCTACCTTTAATATACAGTATTAGTGCGGTGTGTATTGTCAGTGAAAAGCGCTGTAATATGCCTTTGATATTACACATTTGGGCAATTCCACGTTAATGTTATGTTAGTCTGTACTTAACTACGTATTTCACTAAAAAATGCAACATTTTAACTCGGTTTTTGGTAGATTTTTACGTGACTAACATAAGGCTACTGTGGAAGTGCCCATTTCGGTTACGACGACATTCGTTTATAACGACACTATTTTTAGGTCCCTTTGATGACGTTATAACCAAGTTCTACTGTATATGTAAATACACTTCCTGAGTGCCCATCCTGCAGGAAGCCAATGTGATATCAATCCCTGGCCAATATTTGTTTCTCTCTCTATAGAAATGCTGATAGTGCTGTGATCCTAAATATTTTTGAAAAATAGAATGTGCTGTCACTGGTAGACTGCAGAGAATTTCAGGGCTTTTATGGTTATAAAACCCAGGTACTAAATGCACCACACAAACTGAATATGCTGATTTAAAGAACTGGCTTTTTTTGTAACACTGAGAAATGAAAATGTTACAATCCATTGA